CTGGGTTCCTCCTTTTCACCTGTTGGCTGACTGGAGTCCTGTTTGGGTTTCTTCTCTGCTTTCAGGAAGGCCTAGTTAGGATATCCACATTGCTCTAGAGCCTGTCTTTTGTGGGATTTCTCCTTCTGCCTGGCTCCTGAGCTAGTGGGCAGACAGCGTCCCCACTAGCTCAGGAGCCAGCACAGAAGATCAATATCATCAGGCCAGGACTCTGTGGTCTACACTCATCTCCAGGCCAGCGGTCACTCTTTCAGGGATGAAGATGTGCACATCCTGGATAGAGAGGAACGATGGTTTGAGAGAGGAGTAAAGGAGGCCATCTTTGTGAAAAGAAATCGTCCATCGTTAAACAGGGGTGGAGGCCTACGTGTTCAACTGTCCCCCTCTTACAATGCTGTGATTGCTAGTATCACTCAGCCCTCTGTGAATAGTAAACAGCCATCAGTGTGCTAATGATCCATTGTTAGGCTGATGGTCCTTCTTGAGCATGTGATCAGCTGGTTTTGGTTGTCAGCAGCAAAACTGGTTGATCCACTCTGAGAAGGTGCTATTTAAGAGACTGAGCTGAATACAGCACCTCAGACTGAGGAAGTCTCTTGAATGAGAGATGAAACGTTTCTACATTTTTTTGTTGTTTTGCTTTGTTTTGTTTTTTTGAATGTCCAGAGGACCAGATTTAACTTTTTTAGATCCCAGCCTTGTTCATTACTCAAAACCGCAATCATGGGTAAGACTGCCGACCTGACTGCTGTCCAGAAGGCCATCATTGACACCCTCAAGCAAGAGGGTTAGACACAGAAAGAAATTGCTGAATGAATAGGCTGTTCCCAGAGTGCTGTATCAAGGCACCTCAGTGGGAAGTCTGTGGGAAGGGAAAAGTGTGGCAGAAAACGCTGCACAATGAGAAGAGGTGACGGGACCCTGAGGAGGATTGTGGAGAAGGGCCGATTCCAAACCTTGGGGGACCTGCAGAAGCAGTGGACCGAGTCTGGAGTAGAAACATCCAGAGCCACCGTGCACAGGCGTGTGCAGGAAATGGGCTACAGGTGCCGCATTCCCCAGGTCAAGCCACTTTTGAACCAGAAACAGCGGCAGAAGCGCCTGACCTGGGCTACAGAGAAGCAGCACTGGACTGTTGCTCAGTGGTCCAAAGTACTTTTTTCGGATGAAAGCAAATTTTGCATGTCATTCGGAAATCAAGGTGCCAGAGTCTGGAGGAAGACTGGGGAGAAGGAAATGCCAAAATGCCAGAAGTCCAGTGTGAAGCATCCACAGTCAGTGATGGTCTGGGGTGCCATGTCAGCTGCTGGTGTTGGTCCACTTCTAACCTACAAAGCTCTCAACAACCTGGCTCCATCTTATATTACAGATCTTACTGTTCCATATTTTCATAACTGAGCACTTCGCTATCAGGCTGCAGGTTTACTTGTGGTTCCTAGAATTTACAAAAACAGAATGGGAAGCAGATCTTTCAGTTATCAAGCTCCTCTCTTGTGGAACCAACTTCCAATCTCTGTCCGTGAGGCTGACACATTATCCAGTTTTAAAACTAGGCTTAAGACTTTCCTTTTTGATAAATCCTATAGTTAGGGTCGGCTTGGGTTTCCTGAGCTGTCCCTTAGTTATGCTGCTATAGGCTTAGACTGCTGGAGGACAAACTGACCACAATTTTCACTCTGCTACTGTCTTTACTTACTCTGCTCAACCTGTTTTGTTTTTGTAATTATTTTTTCTATTCTTAACATGTGTTTTTTTTGTCTTTCAGTTACACCTGGACCTATACCTGGACCTACCATTCTATGTTCGTCTGTTTCTCCTTCCTGTCCTCTCAACCAGCCGGTCAAAGCAGATGGCCGCTTGTCCTGAGCCTGGTTCTGCTGGAGGTTTCTTCCTTTTAAAAGAGAGTTTTTCCTTTCCACTGTTTCCACTGTGTTTGCTCAGGATGGGAGACTGCAACAAAGCCAAGATTCAACATGTCTGCTGGATTCCTTAGATAGAGAACTTTACTAATTGGCTTTTATGTATACGAATGTTCCTGTAAAGTGCTCTGAGACAACTTTGTTGTGATTTGGCGCTATATAAATAAACTGAATTGAATTGAATTGAATTGAATTGAATTGGATCAGCGACACGATTGGCTTAATAACCCGAAGATGGGACCACAGTCATTAAGGAGACTACTGATAACCCATGCTGTGTGGATTGACAGTTTGCAGCTCGCTCAGGTGTACGACAGCTCATGTCCTGCCTTTTGGGAAGAAAATGTGATCACTAGACCAGAATTAAGATATTTGGCATCAGTTGGACTCACTGTTTGGTGTAAGAGAAATGTTGAGTATGACTGAAGAACATCCCTGCAGCAGGGGTGGACACATGCATCAGGTCTGAGTTTCTGCTGAGTTCAGGACAACCTCATCAAAATACTGATAAATCTGTTGATGGGTCTGTGTAATGTAATGTTGGACACAACTAGCCAGAACACTGAAAATGTTTAGGGGATGGGTCTTCCAGCATGGCAATGACCCAAAACCTATTGTCCAGACTACAAAGGGGCAGTTAAAGTAGAAGCACATCAGGTTCTTGAAGTATTCTCTGTAAAATGGGGTGCGCCAAAATCCTTCCTGAGATGTTTGTAAAACCAGTACAAAATTGTCTTATTGCTGTGCTTGCTATCAAATGATTTTAATAATTTATTGGATTTGTCCGTTGCTGGATAATTCAGAATCTACACCAGCACTTGAAGATTAATTTTTTTAATTTAATAATATACACTGATGTGCATTTTTGTACCTAAAATATAAAGAACCACACAGGACAACAAAATTAGTTTTCAACCACACTTTTTGCAAAAAGGGGAGACGCAGCAACAACCTCTAGAGCTGAGTACTGTGAACTCCGAAGGATTTCTGCATCTGCTCATCTTTTATTGTCACACAGAAAGAAGTGAAAACTGAACATATTGATTATGCAGGCAGTTTAGATTACACAACAAGGGCAAGGCGATCTTAGAACATTTTGATTAAACGCTTACAGTAATGAGTTACTGATACCATTTGTATCAGTTAAATTCTGCTTTGTACACACAGTTAAGAAAAACAATGACAGTGCGAGATTGATGATGTGAGACTGATAAAATATGAGTTGATATGTATAAACCCTCTCTGATTTTACAAAACAAAAAACAGTTCTCAGAAAAACAGCTTGTGTAAGTACAAAGAGTTCCTATCAGCTCAGGCGTGGGCTGATAGCTGTTTGCCAGAATCTTCTTTGCTTCGCATGCACATAGCAACAGAAGTGCAGAAAACATAAAGTTTAAAATGATAAGTAACTTAATAGAAACCCTTACATACACGTTTATTTTTTTCTAGATTTTAAGATCTGTCTCTGTGGTAAAATGTAGCTACCTAGAAGAATTAAACTTTATTTTTCTGTAAGTGGGCAACATTTTAAGTTAAGCCAAGGATCAAATAATTGTTGACCCCTCAGCGTGTGAGTAAATGAACACAGGTGAGTCATCTGCAGTTCTAATGAAGCACTGAAAACTTATTTTTGCACACAAAAATCAAAACTGAGCCAGGTCATAAAAAAATAAATAAGTTGTCAACATCCTGCAGCAGGGAGCATCCTCCCACACGTCAACAGTGTGATTCAGGGGATGTGTTCTTTCACTGACACCACAAACTGGACAATGACTGGACAATGTCCAGTGAAGCATGTAGGTGGAGACATGGGGTGTACTCCGTCAATGTCTACCAACATTTACACACATGATCAGATCTGTCGGGACCTGGATACCTGCTCCACGTTCGTCCCCAGCCTGAAGAGTTCCGTGTCCACACCTGAGCGAACCCGGGGGTGTGTGGAAGCCAGAAGCAGAAAGCAGGTTTGTATTAATGGTGAGTGTGTGGCCCAGTGATTGCTATGGTGGACAAAGTCATGTTGTTCTGAGAAGCTCTTGTTTTGTGTCCTGTTCCCTGCGGGGATGTCCACGGGTGGATGGTGAGCATGTCGTTAGGCCATGAATCATGGAGCTCTATGGGCATAGGAACTACCAGCAGATCCCGTACGACCCAGAACAGCTTGAAGTCCCTTTTGTCCGACCCACTATCCAAACTTGGACAACAGACTGCAACCAGTTTCTGCTAACTAACTGATTCCAGATGTGTGGCATTCAGGTTATCGTTTAATGAAGTCTCACCCCCAAACAAATGTATTTAACTTGTGTCTTGATGCTCATTTGTTTAATTGTTCAACAAGATAATAAAGCTACATTTTTTAAATATTGTTTTTACCATCCTGGAACTCATTGTGTGTCGTTTTCTACTTCCTGTCCTCTCAAACCCAGCCGGTCGAAGCAGATGGCCGCTTGTCCTGAGCCTGGTTCTGCTGGAGGTTTCTTCCTCATGAGGGATTTTTTTTTCCTTTCCACTGTTGTCTCTGGGCTTGCTTAAGATGAACTGAACTGAATTAATACTCCCAACATACAGATGTAGTCAAATATTTCACATACAACTGGTCACTGGCTTTAAGTTGTAATTGAGCAGGATATGGGCTTTTTTTGTGCACATTTTATGGGTTTATTTTACATTTTTTAGATTTTGTGTTTTTTCGAAGCTCATTTTGTTGTTTTTATACCCTGTAAAGCACTTGTTTTATTGTGCTATATTAACAAACTTTTACTTTTGTTTTTGTGTCTGTTTGTATATTTTGACTTTATGTGGATTAGAGAAAATTCACAAAAAATTCAAACTTGTTTATCCAGTTCTTGTTTAAAACAATCATTGAAGTGCATGTTGTATCCATCCTGGAAAAAGAATGGTTCAAATAAATGAATTAAAGACATTCATGCACATGATAAATATCTTTAAACTTTTTACTGCAACCAGATGTAAACTAGTATAGAATAATCAGTGATCTCACTAAAATCCATCTAAACAGCTTTGAATTTTCTTACCTCGCGATATTTTGCTTCTGTAGTCTCGCGAGATTACAGCATTGAATAATCCGCGAGCGGAGAGAGAGGGAGAAATGAGGTCTGAGAAGGACCAGATGACTGCGGGGAAGGACAAATGTCTCGTTGAGATACAGTTTATGGATATCCTGAGAGAGCAGGACAATCTTCCTGGTAACACCAAGCAGAAAGAAGAGAAGAAAGAAGTATTTACAAAGGTATGTAGCCGGAGCTGTCGTGGGTTTGTTGATGACTGAAAACAAACATGGACACGCGCAAGAAGAAGGCGCATGTCAGCACCACGGACAGCGACGCTGTTAGTGTTCACACTCCCACTTTATGGTTTTAACAATGTTTACATTATCAAAGTAAAATTAACAGGTGATAGAGGAATACACGAAACACTTACTGTAATGTATAGATCATCTATTGTTAAAATACAAAAAGATGCTGCATTTTTCTATCAAACATGTTGTATTCAACCCCCATCACCATTTCGTGTACATATTTATGCAGGTGCTATAAAATCACAGCACAGCATTTTAAATTGAGCTACAGTACAATTTATATTTTTCATCCAACATGAATCTGTTTGAATAAATACCTAATCCTTATCTCGAGGTTTAAGGTTCTTTATTGTCATTCGCATCATATGTGGTACATGAGGTGGAACGAAATTGTGTTCTCAAGGTCCCAGTTACACCCAAAAATAGCAAAAATATAATGTATAAAAATAAACAGTATAACAATAATCATGTAATATAATATGGTTTATTAAACAGCAGCCTGAACATGAGTCTGTTGTGAGCAGATGGGTATGAATACAGCAGCTTATGGTAAGAAATCAGCAGCATGGATAATCAGCAGCATGGATAAAGTGTCGAATGTCCAATTAAAGTGATTACAGTGATTATTCTGGTTAGAGATTCATGAGTCTAACAGCCTCAGGGTAGAAGCTGTTCCTCAGGCTAGTGGTTCTACACTTAATGCTCCATAACCTCCTGCCTGAGGGGAGCGGGGCAAAAAGTGTGTGTGCTGGGTGAGTGGGGTCCTTCATGATGCAGGTGGACCTCTGCCTGCATCTGGAGGTGTAGATGTCTGTGATGGTGGGGAGGCTGACTCCAACAATCTTCTGTGCAGCCTTCACCACTCTCTGCAAAGCTTTTCGTTCTGCAGCTGTGCAGCCTCCATGCCACACATTGATGCTGGAGCACAGGATGCTCTCCACTGCACACCTGTAGAAGGAGGTGAGGACTGAGCTTCCCAGACCAGCTCGCCTCAGCCGCCTGAGGAAGTAGAGTCTCTGATGAGCTTTCTTGATCAGGCTGGTAGTGTTGTTGCCCCACCTGAGGTTGGTGTTCAGGTGCACACTCTAGACTTGTAGATGGAGACCACTTCCACCTGTTCATGCACCTGTCCATCTGCGACTTGTTTCAGATCAGTCAGGTCATGGGGCAGCAGATTCAGTTTAGACATCTCTTTCCACAGACTACACTTTCAGCTCTTCCAGGAGGATTTCTAGGTTTTTCCAGGCCATCTGAGAGACATTGTTTTTCCTGCATGTTCTAGGACTTCCCCAGAGTCTCCTCCCAGTTAGATAGCTAGAAGAACCTCCTAAAGAGGCATCCTTATCAGATGCCAGAACCATCTCACCTGACTCCTCTTAATGTGGAGGAGCAGCGGTTCTACTCCACGTCTCAGACAACTCAACTTCTCACCCTGTTACTAAGAGAAAGCCCAGCTATCCTGAGGAGAAAACTTATTTTGACTGATTGTATTGGGGATCTCATCACTGCAATGAGTTCATGAGTGTAGGTGAGGGTTTGAGGTAGACCATAGAGTTAAATAAGACAGTAGACTGTGCACTCCCTTACTTGTCCACTGCTTTCATCTGTGACATCATGAGGAACTAAGATGGTGACCAAAGAGGGTAACAGCTCACAGCCAACAAAGCAACTATTTGATTAACAGCAAACCCAACAGGATATTCAAGGATTCAAGGTTCTTTATTGTCATTTGCATCACATGTGGTACATGAGGTGGAACGAAATTGTGTACACAGGGTCCCAGTTACATCCAACAATAGGAAAAATATATAGAGTAAAAAAAAAACATTAAGTAAGGATCTAAGATATACACTAAAGAAACGCCAAACGGTACACTAAAACATCTAAGATATATGCCTGTCACTAATAGTGCAAAACAATACAATGAAAAACAGCAGCACAATTCTCATACGTTCGGTTCGGCTATAATTTACACTCTTAATGTGAGCGGAGTCGAGCTCAGAGCCCCAAAACTAACATAAACTGGGATTTATTCAAAGCATGCAACAAAACTACAGAAACAAGGCGCCAAAAGTGAAAAATAAATAACTTTACAGCAGCATGGTCCTATTGGCAGAATGGTTCTGATGACAGTGAGGTTATCTTAGCACCATGGTCCCGCTGGCACCATGGTACTGTTAGCAGCGTGGTTCGGTTAGTGGTGTGGTCTTGTTAGCAGCGTTAGCAGGTCTTGTTAGCAGCTTGATGGTAACAATGACTGCAGCAGCTGCCTTCCAGACTGCCATCCAGAACCGGGTCCAGTGGACAGAGAACATCCAAGGTTCCCCTGTGGAACCGTACGGGTCCGTAGAGTTCGGTCCATGCAGGCAGATGGAGGATCATGGAGACAGCCTCCATGACAGGCCTGAGCCCGAGGCTGGAAGGACTGAGCCACGATAGCAGGATGGCATGGCAGCGACACAGAAAACTCCACAAGTGTGTCATGTTCATACCCATACTGTGGATGTGCAGTTTAGGCACACAAAAAAAAAAACCTGTTAAAACAAAAACAACAGGAACAAAAAATGATTGAGTTCACCAGGAGCCTGTGAAGCAGCATCTCGGCTGAGAGTGGCCATCTTGGATCTGCCTATCGTATATGTGTTACACATTATTTGTAATCCATCCATTCAATTCAGATTAGTTTATTTATATAGCACCAAATCTCAGGGCACTGTACAAAATCATTCATATATATACAAAAGCCAATGAGTAAAAGTTCTCCATCTATGGAAGGAAGCCAGAAGGCTCATTGAATCTTCACTTCATCACAATCTCCCATCCTGAGCAAGCACAAAGGCAACAGTGGAAAGGAAAAACTCTCTTTTAACAGGAAGAAACCTCCAGCAGAACCAGACTCAGGACAAGTGGTCATCTGCTTCGACTGGCTGGGTTTGAGAGGACAGAATGGCAGGTCCAGCTGTAGGTGCAGGTGTACCTCCTATTGGATGAAAGACAAAAACACATGTCAAGAATAGGAAAAGTTAAACATACAAAACAGGTCGAGTAGACTAAGTATTTCCATAATAATATAAGTACAATAT